CATGCCCTCACCCCCCTGTTGTCTGTGTCCATTGGTTAGGACTTGTATTTATACAAGTCCTTTGGTTGATCTTTCCCCCTTACCTCCACCCTCCCCTACCTTCCGAGATTTGACAGTCTGATCGATATTTCTCTGTATCTGGATCAGTTTTTGTTCATCAGTTTATGTTGTTCATTACATTCCATAAATAAAATCATGTGATATTTATTTTTCTCTGACTGGCTTATTTCACTTAGCAATAATGCTCTCCAAGTTCCATCCATGCTGTTGCAAATGGTAAGAATTTTTACCGAAGCGTATTATTCCATTGTGTAGATATACCACTCATCTGCTGATGGGCACTTATGCTGTTTCCAAATCTTAGCTATGGTGAATTGTGGCAATATGAACATTGGGATGCATATATCCTTTCTGATTGGTGTTTCTAGTTTCTTGGGATATATTCCTAGAAGTGGGATCACTGGGTCAAATGGGAGAGCCATTTTTAGTTTTTTGAGGGAACTCCATACTGTTCTCCATATTCTCCATCCTTATCCCTCATTCTTATTTCATGTGTTCTCCATAAAATGCAATTGATTAGGTTGATCATTTTATTGTCATCACATTCCCCCTAAAATGAAGTCAGGGAAGTCACCTGGATGGGTAGGCTGGTTACTCCCAAGCTCTTCATTAATTATGGATTTTTTCTTTGTTTGTTTATTCTCAAGTATTTTAGGTTGAACCATATGAAATTGCAATTTTGGTAGGTTAAAAACAATCAAAAAGCAGCAACTTCATGTGGTCCAACTAACAGCAGACCATTAGCGGGGAGGGCTTAATAAATCCAGTGCTCTTTTGCAAGCCTTGGTGGTAGGTGTTGCCAGGGGAGCACTCATGCATGGCAGCTTTTTCTGGAAATAAGTTCTTTGGGGTAGCTACTTGTGTCTGGGGCCTTATTCCTCTTTCTGCCCATTTGTCCGCCAACTAGGGCCTTTTAATGTCAGGGATGGATAAAGGAGGAACTTCAGGTTGAATTCTTTGTTATGTGGAACAGAGTACATGTTCTGAAGCCAAGAAAAAACAATTCTGAGGGACACTTTTATTTATTTATTTATTTATTTATTTATTATTTTTAATCCTCACCCGAGGGTATTTTTCCATTGATTTTTAGAGATAGAGGAAGAGAGAGAGAAGGAAAGACAGAAAAATATTGAAGTGAGAGAAACACATTGATTGGTTGCCTCCTGCAGGAGCCCCAACCAGGGCCTGGGCCAGGGAGGATCCTACAACCGAGGTATGTGCCCTTGATAGGACTCGAACCCAGGACACTTTGGTCCCCATGCCAACACAATGCTCTATCCACTGAACCAAACTGTCTAGGGGCCACTTTTATTATATATATATTTATATAATTGATTTCAGAGAGGAAGGAAGAGAGGAGAGAGAAACATCAACCATTGATTGGCTTCCTCCTACATGCCCCCTACTGGGGATTGAGCTCTCAACCTGGGCAAATGTCTTGACCGGGAATACAACCATGACCTTCCAGTCTGAACCACACCCTCCGGGCTGAGAAACACTTTTAGCTAATACGTGGTTTGTACATTCACCTGTTAATGTGGAAAATTAAGAACCAATGCAGACATTTCACATTTTGCAAACATTAATAAACATTTGTGTGATATAGGCTCTATTGCCCAACACTATTCCTACTTGCAAGGATTTTCAATGGGCTATAATTGTACGAATACTTGTGTGACTGCTCCATATAGTAAATTCTGTAATGGTAGGGCTTATGTTTGATTTACTAACCCTTAACTCCTATCACAGGGCCTGGCATAGAGTAGGGGCTTCACATTAATGATGAGTGAATGAATACATAAGTACATAAATGAAGGGGTTAAACAAATAATGACATACTAGGAAGGAATTAAATACCACGACAAACGAAAGGTCTCTGGGCCTTTAAAGGTCAGGAACCAGGCTGCTCGTAGACGTCAGCAGAGGCTCCCTGGACGAGGTGACCTGACAGTGGTTGCTCTCCCGTTGGATGAGGCTGGTGAACAGCTCAGGCACTAGCACAGTCTGCCTCACAGCTGTGAGAGAGGAAGCCACAAGTGAAAAGAAGCCACAAATGCAAAGTTGCTCCTCATTTCCTGGCTAGCTCTCTGGCCAGCAAGAGCTGCATTCCTTTGAGCTGAGCATGTGTGGAATTTCCAGCCTAGGTAGCAGAATGGAACTTGGAACAAATAGATCAGCAAAAAACAACCCGTGGACAATGGGGCCGGGCCCAGCTGCCCTTTGCCAGCTTTTTGAGCTCACAGAATATTGGAGCTCAGTGGGCCTCGTCGAGGGCGATACATGATGTCCTTTGGATTGTATCACTTCAGGAGACCCAGACAGCCATGTTCAGACAGCATCAGGATCCTTAGATATGCTGAAATACCTGGGAAGGACCTGAATCCTCGCCATCATCCAACTTTCCTTCTAGCAAGGACAAGCGAAGGTCTGTTTTTGCTTTAAAGAAGGGGAAAGTCCAAACATTAGAAGCAGAGGGAAAGATACCTTCATCAAAAGAAAGCTGAAAGATGTTTCGCTGGCAGCATAATGATGAGGGATCTGGTGATAGCAGGAATTAGCACTCTGTGTAACTGTTCTGGAGGAGGGTGGCCAGGGATATTTAAAACAACTACATGAAAACATCGCCCGGGTGACATTTCAGGGCAGGGGATTCAAAGAAGAAGGACCAGCTTCATGGAGGGAGACTAATTATAGACGATGACACAATCACAAAGACACTGGTCTCTCTACTGGCCTGACCTGAAGTTCTTACACCTGATGGAGCTCTGGGAGCATGCCATCAATCACCCTGAAAAACGTAATCGGGAACTTGGCTGTATTTACCCTCCACTGCTATTCCTAAGGTCTCTGCATTTCCCCAACTCAACAATTCCTTCAAAACACTGATAATATTGATTGAGACCTAAGCAAGGGGAGGACTGAATTTCGGTTATTCATCTCTAGATCTTCACTTCTATGATTATAATTGAGTTGAAGGCAGGAATAATAAATTACTCAACCTAGAATAAGCTATACTGCCTCACCTATAGCTACCTAGGTGTTTCATAGATAAAGAACAGATAAAGGAAGAGGAGAGAAGGGGACGGAAGGAAAGAAAAGAGAGAGGAAAGGAAGAGACAGAACAAAAGCAACGTAATTTGGTCGGAGATGTGAAGGGAGGTGGAGGGGGGAGGGTTGCAGTACTGAACTTGGCCTGCATCACAGAATATAATAGTGTCACAGAAGGAAGTCACCTAGGGGCCCATCCTGAGTAGTTATAGTTGAGGGAATAATTTGTAAACTTGTCATTGGTCAAGGCTAGGTCTTTGATTTATTTCTTTAATAATATTCTGGATTTAGTTCTTTAATATAGTGGTAGGGTCCAGGGGTGGGAGGGGGAGGACAACCTTAAATGGGGAAACTGTAAAGGAAAAGACAAAGAGGTGCCTCCATTTACTGTGTGTGCTCTATCCCGTGAGGCTGTTAACACGTGTCCGAGTCATTTCCTCCACGGTTGTGACAGTCCTCTCCTTTATCCTTAGGAGGAAGTGAAAGTTTAATACCTTACATTAGACCACCTTTTTCATTACAGGATTCATTTCATTCTCAAAGCTCAGAGAATATTAAAAACGGTAACGCCAGGTTTTGCATGGGCATTTTGTCCCCATTCCTGTGGCCGTTTATTAGGGATAAAAGCTAACGATAAATTGCAGTCGTCATCCAGACTCAAGTCAGGGCAGGGGGCACTGTTTCTCGCATCTAATGAAGCACTCTGCTGTGCAGCTAACACCTACACTTGCCCCACCTATCTTACAAGAGCTAATGATTCCCGGATCAGGGGCTTGAGGATCAGATTTATTTATTTAGCTTGAATGTCTTTGAGGGTGGAGTTCAGACAAAATCAATTCCCTTCTACCTTACTCATTGGTTTATTAAAGATCTTTAAAACGAGATCTAACTGCAAGCCCAACTCTCCTAATCATCATCCCATAAAGATGAAAATGAATAATTGCCGGACCAGAGAGGGTGGAAGTATAAAGGCAGGAGGAGGTGGCGGTCCCATCTTTATAACTCGGTGTCTTTTCGCTTTCGCTCCAGTGCAAACCGCAAGCCCACACAGTTCGCTCGGGGCGGGCGGGCACGTGTGTCTGCCACGCATGCGCTCAGAATAGGCCCACCCGCCCTTTCTCCCCGCCCCCCCAACCTCTCTCGCCCAATCCCAGCCAGCCCTCCAAATGCCCACCCTCCAGCCTACACCCTCCGCCAATCGGGAGACCGGAGTCATCATATACGTCACCTATTTAGCATAGACCTTCCCCCCCGCCCCGTCAGTGGCTGGGATTGTCGCCTAAGCGCTTCGTCTCGGCACCTGATTGGCTCCTTCTCCAGCCCCGCCTCCGTCTCCCCCCCTCCCACCGCCCTCCCCGCCGCGCCCCCACAGCGGTGGGCGGATCGTAGTACGCAGGGCGGACGCGGCCTCTCTCCTGGAGGCCCGCCCTCCCTCCTCCCCCTCCCTCCCCTCCCCACCCCTTCTCCCCTCCTCTCCGGGCCTGCGCGCGCGCGTCCTCCCGCACGCGCCGCCGCTAGCCGAGCACTCACGCCGGAGCTTCGGGCCGCGCGTTCCTTTTCCCCTCCGACTGCGGAGCGGCCGGGACCCTGCGCCGGGGTCGCGGCGGCGGCGGCGGCGGCGGCAGCGGTAGCCCTCGGCGGGCTCGGGCGCCAGTAGCGGCGCGCGATCCATCAGGCGGACCGTACCACTGCCCGCCAGCTCGCGGGGGGTGACGGAGGCGGGGAGGAAGCCGCCTGCCCGGCCGCACACGCCTCGGCCACCCCGCGGGGCTGAGGCGTCGCCGCACCCGGGAGCCTTGAGCGTCGAGCCGGCGGCGTCGACCCAGAGGTCGGAGCCCCGCGGGCCGCTCCCGCCGCCGGCCCCACCCATCCGGGTCGAGGAGGCCAAGGCCATGGCCGAGACGGAGGAGCGGAGCCTGGACAACCTCTTCGCCAAGAGGGACAAGAAGAAGAAGAAGGAGCGCAGCAACCGGGCGGCGAGTGCCGCGGGCGCCGGGGGGGCCGCTGGCGGGAGCAGCGGAGCCGCAGGCGCGGCGGGCAGCGGGGCGGGCGTGGGGGCCCGGCCGGGCGACGGCGGGACCGCGGGGGCCGCGGGCCCCGGGGCCGCCACCAAGGCCGTGACGAAGGTGAGGGGCCGGGATTCGGGGCCGGGGCCGCGCGCTGGCGCCCATGTGCCTGCGCCGCCGGCCTGGCTGGCTGGCGGGGCGTCCGGGAGGGGCCCGGGGGCCGCCGGGCGCGGAGGCCGGCCACGTGACCCGGTCCTCTCTCCGGGCCGGCCTCCCGGCGGGACCCCCTGCGGGACCGCCTCGCTGCTGACCTGTTTCTCTGCGCCCGGGGTCGCCTGGCTTGAGCCGGGACCGAGGCGGCAGCATGGGGGTCCGGGGAGATGGGTCTGGGTCCGAAGCGCCCGGCATTTGTCGAGTGACGTCTGTGCTAGGGATTTTACGTTCCGACTTCAGCCCGGTCGTCGGAGCTTGAAATTCTCTTTTATTCATGAGCATGACTGACTTGGTCTCCCAAGCCGGGGAGAGAAAAAGGAAAGGATCCCATGGCGATACTGAGGTGGTAGACATGTAGGTGTGGGCTCGCCGGGGACTTTTTTCATGTTCGGCTTTTCCTGGTTGGTTTTGAATGAACAGCTCTGATAAAAAAAAAAAAAAAGGAACCGGATGGAAGTCAGCGCTGGAAAGGGCACGTGTGTCCTCCAGCTCTAGTCGACCTCTCGGGATCAGGCAAGGGCTCTGGCCCGGAAAATGAGTCCATATTGTAGGGTCCGGCCACGTGATCCACCCTCCGTGGTGTCTGATATTGGCCTGAGTGGTACTTCTAGGAATAGCTTTAATTGATCAATTTGGTATGTGTGCTTTTACAGGATGAAGACGAGTGGAAAGAATTTGAGCAGAAAGAGGTGGATTACAGCGGCCTCAGAGTTCAGGCGATGCAAATAAGGTATGGCCTGGTTACAGATAATGTTCAGATAACCCTCAGGATAGGTGATTTATGTCTGGTTTCTCTTTATTGTAACCTTGCACTTTACATATGCTTATTAGGGCTCTTAATAGGTTGTGTCTATTCCTTCTCTCTGTGATGGCAGTCATTCTATATGTTGATCAAATTAGCTGCCAGCTCCAAAATCCTGAGAGAGCTTACCTACTTCCAGTCCTGGTAAGGTTTCGTTGATTTTTTTTTTTTTTTTTTTTGAGACAGCTAAAATTAATTTTGTGGTTTCAGAGTATTTACTCCCCCCCAAAACACACACACACACACACACACACACACACACACACAAAACAGACACTTAATATTTGTGGGTTGAGCTTAGTTTTTCCTTGTGTCTCAAAAATAACATGGATGGTTTTCAGGTCTTTTCCAATAAGCAGGGTAATGTGTATTTTTGAAATGGAAGCATCCTTACAAAGAAGTACAGGTTTCATATATTCACACAGTGAAACCAGCCTGTGTAATCAGCACCAGAGTCAAGAAACTGAACATAAGAAAGCTCCCCTCCTCGCCCTCTGCAGCCAATGCCTTCACCCCACAAGGATAACTCTGTAGGTTAACTTTCCCCAGAATTTCATAGGAATGGAATCAAACAGGTTATTTTTACAGTTTAAGGAAACAGTAATTTTTTTTTTTTTTTTAATCCTCACCGGAGAAAATTCTTTCCATTGATTTTTAGAGAGAGAGAGAGAGAGAGAGAGAGAGAGAGAGAGAGAGATCCAAAACATAAATGTTAGATAACAATTGGTTGCTTCCCTCACGTCCCCCTACCTGGCCTGGGACAGAACCTGCAAACCAGATGTGTGCCCTTGACTGGGAATAGAACCCCTTGGGCTGATGCTTTAACCATTGAGGTTAAAGCCAGGGCAAGAAGACAGTAATTTTTAGAAATTGGATTGGTTGAATTTTTCAAGATTTGAAACCAAGAAATATTTTACGGCTTGGCCAGGGTGGCTCAGTGGTTGAGTGTAGACCTATGAATCAGGAGGTTACAGGTCAGGGCAGACTCGTTCTCCACTGGGGGGCATACAGGAGGCAACTGATCAGTGGTTCTCATCACTGATGTTTCTATCTCTTCCTCTTCCTCTCTGAAATCAATTAAAAAATAGCTGTATATATTTTAAGTCCTACCTATGGCAATCAATTTTAGATTTGTGTAAATAAATGCAGGAAAAACAAGTAAATATAGGCTTCCATTGGTTTAAGATTTAAAACCCTTTAATCCCAGTTTGCAATTATGTCAGTGACCATGTGGAGGAAATTTTCCTTAAAGAAATAATGTCTTTTCTCCTCTCTAGATGGTAATATTTATGGCCTTAAAACTCTCATTCAAAAACCAGGGCTAATTTTGGCATCTATTCACAGTTAGGTATTAATGTCCTACCTTTTTTCACATCATTTCATGAGAGCTTAACCAAAGTGAAACATGATTGATGGTGGGCACTTTGAGGAAATGCAGCTTCTACGTTCTTGAGGTTCTTCTGTCTTGGTGTTAAGTAGCAGTAATTACACTGGAGTTTTAGTCCTTACCCGTTCGGGTTTATGGAATTGCCTGTGTGTGTGGTTCCTGTTTTGATGTGGAATAAGGCTCTTGATCTGCCTCTTCTGACTGCATATTCTTGGAGGAGACTTGAATGACTGGAGGCATAGTGTTTGCTCATGTTGAACTTTAGCGAGTAGCAATTTTGGAGGGAAAAATGTTTCAAGTTAATGTTAGACATTGACTTTGTTTTATTATGAAGGATTTAAAACCACCTGTTTGTCATTAAGTATATATCCCATATCCATAGTCAAGGCTGTTTTTCATTTCGGCTACTCCCAAGATGGTGAAACATTCCTTAAATTCAGTTGTTGAACAAAACTTCCGTTCTTGAGGGTTCAACTCTTTTGGGCTGCTTATTCAATACATACAGTAAGTCTCCATAAGTTCTAAGAAGGTTAGTGATAGCAGCAAAGTGAAAAGGAAAGTTATGAGAACAATAATTGAGCTTAGAAATATACTGTACATAAGAAAGCTTAAAAAGAAATCATTTCAGGGTCTGAAATGCATTAATTCAATTTATATTATTTTTAATGGGAGAAAAAATTATTTTGGTTTTCTAACAAATTGCTTCTTGAACAGCCAGAACAAATTAGGTTCTAGAACTGAGGTTCTGTTGTACTTACATCCTTCACCTTTGCCAGGAGCATAAATAAATTTCAGCTAGGATGAGCGTTTAAGTTCTGCTTGACCTGAGGTAGACCAGTTTTTATATTGTGTGTTTTTCATTATTCTTACCATGTAGTCACTGCGCCTAAGTGGCCATTCAGAGGTCGTCTTCTAACCTACTAACATTGAAAAACGTATCTTCAAGAAGCTGCTTTTGTGGGTCCTCAGTCACTATGGAGTCTAGGGTCTGTATTTGCATTTTTATAAATCATTCAAAAAGGGAAATCTAACAGCTCCTGGGGAAGGCTTGAGAGTGAGAAGCTATCTGAAGTTTAATAAGAGACCAAGATTTTCACTTTATACTAATATCCTTATAAACTGTAAATTAAATGTTCTTGACCATGGAGCTTGATATGTTTCATCAATGGGATGGAGTTGATAATGTGGCAAAAAGATGGACTTTAGGAGAAAGACAAACCTGGGTTTGCATTTTGCCCCTGCCTGTGTGTGATCTTGTGTTTTTTTTAATGAGGTTTTTTTTCCTTTTGTTAATGCTCACCCGAGATTATTTTTCCATTGATTTTCAGGAAGAGAGAGGGAAGGACGGAGAAACATCGATGTAAGAGAAATACATCGGTTGGTTGCCTCCCGTTGCTCCTGCACCAGCCCCGACCAGGGCCCAGGCTGGAGAGGAGCCTGCAGCTGAGGTCCATGCCCTTGACCGGAATCAAACTTGGGACTCTTTGGTCTGCAGGGTGTCGCTTTATCCACTGAGCCAAACTGGCTAAGGCTATTTTTGAATGTTCTTACCTGCAAGACTGGGATGACTACTCAATAGTGCTATGAGGACATTGAACAGGATGTTTATAAAATACCCACTTGAGCCGAAACCGGTTTGGCTCAGTGGTAGAGCGTCTGTCTGCGGACTGAAGGGTCCCGGGTTTGGTTCCAGCCAAGGCCATGCACCTTGGTTGCGGGCACATCCCCAGAAGGGGGTGTGCAAGAGGCAGCTGGTCGATGTTTCTCTCTCGTCGATGTTTCTAGCTCTCTATTCCTCTCTCTTCCTCTCTGTAAAAAAATCAATAAAATATATATATATTTTAAAAATACCCACTTGATTAATATTAATCAAGATAAGTGGGTAAATAGAATGACTTACTCTTGGGAATTTCTCTGCTGTTTAACCACAAGGCACCTGATTTATAAGACTCAAAGGAGGAGGAGTGAAGTCATATAAGGCTATCATGACTAATCACGTCAGACTCCAGTGAGTCAGTTCACTATGGACGTAATAGGAGAAAGTGACATGTTCAGGTTGGTGTTAGTATAACCATGCAGACAAAAATCCTTCTGAGTGTTCCGTGTTCTCTCCTCAGTGTATGAGAGAGGCAGCCTTGCTCTCTCTCTGTGGGACAAGGAAAATGAAACATTGGAATTTGACTGAAAATGTCTTGAAATTTGCCCTAGTCTGTGTGGCTGAGTTGGTTGGAACATCATCCAATACACCAAAAGGTGGCGGGTTCAATCCCCAATTAAACACATGTGCAAGGCAACAGATTGCTGTTTCACCCTTCCTTTCTCTCAGGTGAATTAAATATATATTCTAAAATCTATAGTCTTTTTTTTTTCTTTTTTTCTTTTTTCTTGCAACTCCTTGCTTTGGGGAATTACAAACTTCAGAAAAGCTGCAAGAATAGTAAAAAAAAAAAAAAAGTACCTTATACTCTGCTTACATCTATCAATCTTTTTATATGTGTGTGTGTGTGTGTGTGTGTGTGTGTGTGTAATTGATTTCAGAGAGGAAGAGTAGGGGAGAGATAGAAACATCAATGATGAGAGAGAATCATTGATTGTGTACTTCCTGCACACCCTCTACTGGGTATCAATCGGGTCATGTGACCTTGATCAGATCGAACCTGTCACTTTTCAGTCCACAAACCAATCCACTGAGCCAAACCAGCTAGGGCTACCAATCATTTTTGCCATGTTTGCTTTATCTTTAGTTAGTTGCAGATATTGATCTAGTCTTGAAGTACTTGACACTGTCTTTATAGTAGGTTAGCAAGTTTGACCGTTATTGCAGACTAGAGGTCTGGTGCATGATATTCCTGCACAGGAAGAGTTCCTAGGCCTTGCCAGGGCCTTCCTTCGTTCTGCACCGCCACCTGGTGGCCAGCACATGTCATAGTGAACAGTGGAGCTCTTGGTTGAACGCTTAAGGGGACACTTCGCTATTAGCCTATTATACACACACACACACACACACACACACACACATACACACAAACTAGAGGCCCAATGCACAAAATTCATGCAAGAATTTACCTTCCTTCTCCAGCTGCTGGCACCAGCTTCCCTTGCAGCCCCAACTTTGTCCAGAGGATGTCTGGTCTAATTAACATATTACACTTTTATTATTACAGATATAGATAAGTGTTAATTTGAAAGGAAAATTTTAGTAGCAACAGACGCTATATTAATGTCCTAGCTCACATTTACCAAGTAGCCTGAAATTTAAGTACCAAGAGTATTATAAGGAAATGTGTCAAATTTTGTGTCTAAATAGATTTTATTCAAAGTCATGCTATTTATAGATAAGTTCTTAAGTGGGAAGCCATTGAGATGATTGAAGGGACCTACCACTTGAGCTTAGATTATTGGTTGATAGTAGGATCTGTAGGCCTCGCACATCTTTAAAATGGACCTTTAGGAGAATGAAATATTTCATTTAGTACTTGCGGTTAGGTTACTAAATGTTGAGCATTTCTACCCATTCAGTAGGACTGGTTAAGTTGTCCTTTGAAGAGAATAAATTGCTTCTGCGTCCAAACTAGATCTATTGTAGCAAATTTTTGTGACTACTGTGTGTGCCACACATTATGGTCATAAAAATAGCTCATGCTGTACTAAACATCAGTGATACTATGCAGGGTGCTGTGGGCTACAGGAGAGAGACTAAGTCTACCATGAAGAGGCAGAGTAAGAGTCCTTGCATGAGGTGCAGTGACATTTAAGCCTCCAGGCATAGCTGTGGGGCCGTTTCTGTCTCCCTCTAGTACTCTTGTAACAGTTGCTGGATAATAGTGTGAAACCAGCATTCCAGCAAAAGCAGGGTCATGTCTGAATTTTGTTTTAGCTGCTTCTCCCTAATGTTAGGGAAGGGGGTTTGGGAGGGTTAAGGATACATAAGTCCTCGTGTAACCTGAGATAAGGAGGTAAGAACATTCTGTTCTTTATAAATATACTGCTGTAGGCTGTGTAATCCTGAACAAACTTACTAAAGAAAGTGAATTCCTCGAATCTCAAAATAGAGAATTTCTGTGCCCTATCTTAGAACCGGAAAGAGGATAAAATAAGAGATTAAAGTCCGTAGATGGCTGCCTGGCATAGTAGATATTCAGTAAATACTCCTTTTCCAGCACCATCATTCCCCCTTACCCCACAATAGTGCTTTACAGGCATGCATATTTAAGACAATACTGTGTGAATTGTGATACTGAAATAACAGTAACGTCATAGTGTTTAAAATCATCAAATTTAGCTGATGGGAAGGTATATATTATATGTGGGTCAGATATAATTTTAGCCTAATTGTGTTTGCAACATGGATCTTGTTCTGGCTTTGATATTTGGAGATAGGACATTTTCTGAAATATGTAAATATGAAAAAAATAAGGTATTTAAATAATTTCTACCCTGCCGTTATTACTGTGGCATTTTGGCAAGGCTCTTAGCATCTCCCTCTGTTGGATAAAGGGTCTTGACTTTAAATACAATTTCCAATGTTTAGTTTAGCTAATACTTCAGAATCTTAAGAAGCCAAAATACTAGGTTATTGTTTTGTGCCCATTATAGATATTTTGTATAATTAAACAGATCACTCTTATTTTTTAAAAATATATTATATTGATTTTTTTACAGAGAGGAAGGGAGAGAGATATAGAGTTAGAAACATCGATGAGAAACATCCACCAGCTGCCTCTTGCACACCTCCTACTGGGGATGTGCCTGTAACCAAGGTACATGCCCTTGACCAGAATCGAACCTGGGACCTTTCGGTCCACAGACCGACGCTCTGTCCACTGAGCCAAACCGGTTTTGGCTCATTCTTACTTTTTAATAAGATTATCATCTAGCAGTAATTTTAGGTTCTATGATTATTTACTTTTCTCTAAGGAAAAGAGGTGATAAATACTAGACATAAAAGAATTTTCTTTACTTGTGATTCTCAGTATTCTATCAGACCAAAGGAGTTTTTCTTTAACTTTTTTTGTGAATTAGAAAAACAATATGCTTTATTGTTTTTATTTATTCTTATTGATTTCAGAGAGGAAGGAAGAGGGAGAGATATATAGAAACATCAGTGATGACAAAGAATCATTGATCAGCATATTCTACACTGGGGATCAAGCCTGCAACCCAGGCATGTGCCCTGAGCCGGAATCAAACTGTGACTTCCTGGTTTAGGTCCACACTTTCCACTGAGCCACGCTGGCTGGGCTACTTCTTTTAACACTTTAAAGATCATTCTAGATGTCTTTCTATTTTAAGTGTATGTATAAATTTTGTTTTAGTAAGTTTGTGTGACATGAAGATTACTTCCCTGTTAGTATAGGAGTAACATTTTAAATGGATTCATAGGATTCTTTGTTAACGAAAAGGAAAACTGAAGCCTCACTTGGCCATATCTTAAATAAATCCTGCTGTAGATGCCGATTGAAGATACAGTTGGTTTGTTCCCTTTTCCCCTTCCCGATTGCCACCCTAAGCCTAAGTTCCAGAATCTCATCCAGTTGGGGGACAGTTCAGAAGTGTCTTTAGAGGAAAATTGTTTTATAGCCAGGACTTGTCTTGTTTTAAAAGAAATGGAAGAAAGCACCCTTAGATGTTCTTGTGCAAAAGTCAAGAGAGGCCGCGATGTTTGGAAGTCACATGGTCAGCGTGGGGGTCACCTGTACATTGTTAGGGCCGTGATCTTGGATCAGATATCAAAGTGTCTAAAAGGGTGAAGGCCAAGGGTCAGAGCTTTAGACAACAGCCATGTTTTTTTTTTAACAGGGAAAAGTGTAGTTCGAATAGTGGAGATTGATAAACTGAAGGCCTAGGGAAAACCACCGTTGGTACGGGAGAGAATTCAGGGAAAAGGTTGGTGGTTGTGCCAGGTGCATCATCAGCAAGGGCAAGAGTTACAGAAAGGAAGTTTGATTTGGCAGTTCTCTCCCTGCCATGAAGTCAGCAGTATAGAGAAGTGAGACATGTGCTTGATCTTGTAGAACATTATTTATGTAAAATCATAAGTAATCTAGCCAAAGGAGAAATAATCAAAGAAACCCTAAGAAAAATCACAGGTTTCTGACTCAAGTCGATTCAAGACTAAAGACATTTTAAAACGGCTTTAAAGACATTTTTAAAATTAAAAAAAAAAACTGCAGGCACTCTAGGATGCTGTGTTCCACTGAGGATCTCTTGTATTTCGAAGAGTATTTTGTAACGCATACTAACAGATACAACTTTATCTTCCTTTTTTTTAACTTGTTTATTTTTTAAATTAAATTATTATCTGTGTACATATCTTACATTGCTGCCCCCCCATACAACTTTCAAAAACCATTCATTCCATCCCTAAAAATAAGCTTATAAATGGTTGTATACTTTGTTTCTAGAAAAATCTAGTAATTAATTGTACTTTGAATCCTTCAAGTTGCCCTTTTCACTGCATTTCACATTAGACAAGCCAGTCACCCTTCCTCCATTGCTTGAGCCAATAGCTGGCACTCTGCTCTTTCTTGGGGCTGCTATATATAATCATCAGGTTGTCATGGCCTAGCATATCGGTGTGTTAAGTATTTCTAAATGTTCGCAAAAGGGAAGTGCAGACTATCAGGCCATGTGGTTTTTAAACCTTTTTTCAGCATGAAATCTTTTTTCACAGGAACCCAAGTGAAAGTCTACTGGATAGATAAGGAAAATCCCCAATTTTTCTATCTTTTAAACAAATATATACTTTGTAGAGCCTAAGTGACTTCTCCAGGGTCATACAAAACCAGCATTGATAGAACTAAAAATTTGGACTGCCAGTCTTCCTGATGGTTCTGTAATTGAATTCACTTGCTTTTTCAATAGTGAAAAGGAAGAAGATGATAATGAAAAAAGAGAAGATCCTGGTGATAATTGGGAAGAAGGTGGAGGTGGTGGTGGTGGTGTAGAAAAATCTTCAGGTCCCTGGAATAAAACAGCTCCGGTACAAGCACCTCCTGCTCCAGTAATTGGTAAGTTTAATATTTTATTTCCAAGAAAATGTCTAGGTATAATTTTATATGTGGTCAACTTTCAACTAAATGCATGTTTGTGGTGGGGTTAGTAGGGCTCATTTCCATTCCTGGGAAGGAGGCCTAAATACTTTCACATTCAAAGGAATTTGGAAGTTAAGATTCAGGCTTTTTTTAGACTAGCTAAATTTTTATGTAGACTAACTTGCCAAATTCAGATATTTAAGCATTTCAATTTTAGACAGCTGACTAAGAAATATTGGCTACCTGTGTTTCACCTATGTTTGTCTCCCCGCCCCCCCATTCCCCATTTTACTATCTTGAAGCATGAATTCTCAGAGGGGCAGATTTTATCACTCCCAGGGGTGGGTAATGAAATCTTAAGACTTTTTTTGTATAATTTTTAAAGACAATTTTGGTTTTTTTTTTTTTTTTTTTTAATATTACATTTTTCAGAGAGGAAAGGAGGGGAGAGAGAGATAGAAACATCATTGATTGGCTCAGTTGCCTCAAGCACGCCCCACACTGGATCAAGCCCGAAATCTGGGCATGTGCCCCAATCAGAAATTGAACCGTGACCTCCTGGTTAGGTCGACACTCAACCACTGAGCCACAGCCGGCCCGGCTATTTTTATATTATATTACATTACATTACATTACATTACATTACATTACATTACATTACATTACATTATATTATTTATTTTTGAGAGAGAGGACGGAAGGGGGGAGGTATCAATTTGTTGTTCCACTTATTTGTGCATTTATTGGTTGATTCTTGTATGTGCCCTGATTGGGGATTGAACCTACAACCATGGCATGTTGAAACAATGCTCTAACAATCTGAGCTACTTGGCTAGGGCGAAACCTTAGATCTTATAGTGGTTTTGTGACCCATCAGAGGGCCAAAGTATGTAAACAGATGTACAGTGTGTATTTGTGGTATTAACATTTCTGAGGGAGGGAGGCAGTGGTGATTAGGAAAAAGTTGTTTTAAAAATGCTGAGGGCAATAATGAAAAGGAAGTTTGAGATACGATGCTTGAATACAATGATTTTCAAATTTTTTCATCTCGTGGCACACATGAAATAATTACTAAAATTCTGGCACTGAAAAGTATATTTTTTTGCCTCGCTGACAAAAAAGGTATAATTTTTATTCATTCACACCATGTGATTATTGTGGTTGGCTATTGTCAAAGAGGTCAGTGTCGCTGACTAAATAGGTGTTCATGTTTTAAAAATTCTTGTGGCACACTGATTGAAATCACTGCTTTAATATATACCGTATTTTTCGGACCATAAGACGCACTTTTTTTCCCCCAGAAGTGGGGGGAAAAAGTCACTGCGTCTTATGGTCCAAATATAGCCTACACATATACTTTTTAAAAAAAAGTTTTTTTACTTGCCCGGCTCTGTGTGGTCTCTGTGTGCTTGCCCGGCTCTAAAATGGTTCTAAATGCTGCTGTTTACTTTACAGGGTTGATTACATGTGTTTATGACTGTGATGTTGGGTTTTAATGCACATAAAATATTTTAGGACACTATTTGTTTCAGAATCTTTTTTTCTTCATTTCCCTTCTCTAAAAACTGGTGCGTTTTATGGTCCAAAAAATACGGTACCCATTATTCTAAATAAATCACCCCAAATCTTCCAGGGATCACAGGTAACTCCTATGTCAGTATTTTTGCATCCATTCTGGCATTTTGCTATGTATAAGTTTCTTCATTTATCTTCTTATTTTTCGAACTGCATCTGTCAGTGATTTCTACTACTTCCTACATTGCTAACCCCATTGCCCAGGTCTCAGTCCTCATCTGATTTGTCCCATCAGCAACATTTGCCACAGTTGATCACCCTTTTGAAACACGCTCTTCTGTTGGTTTCCAGGACACTGAATTCTGGCCCCCCGTTGGTTGGTTCGGTCTCCCTTGGCAGTCTCTCTATATGCTAATGATCTGCAAATTCACATCTTAGCTCAGAGCTCTGCTGAATTCCACACATGTTTATCTTAACTGCCTACCCAGCACCTCACTCTCAGTATGTCTAAAACAGCTCATGTATGTGCTGCACCCCATCTCAGTGCTGTAATTTCAGTCACTTAGCATAAACTTTGCAGTCACCTCTTTAAAAATTTATTTTTATTTTTTTATTGATTTCAGGGAGGAAGGGAGAGGGAGAGAGTGATGGAAACATCAGTGATGAGAGAATCATTGACTGGCTGCCTCTTGCATGCCCACAATCCAAACATGTGCCCTTGACTTGGGACCTTTCAGTCCACAGGCCAACGTTCTAGCCACTAAACCAAACTGGCCAGAGCTGCAGTCACCTTTGACAAAGCCTCTCCTGCTCCAAACCTAAATCTAACGTGTCCATAAATTTGCTTTGGGCTTACTTTTAAAGTAAATTACTCTCTATATGACTAGTTCTCAGCAGTTCCACAGCTACTCCCTGGCTTTGAACTGTCATTTTGTTACATGAATTACTGAGATGGTTTCTTATCTGGTCTAACAGCAGCAAGAGTGATCTTTTCAGATATGGCAGAGCATGTCCTAGGCTATTTGTAAACCTCCCAAGTTCTCCTTTACAGGGCTGGTTTATTAAAATGCCAAACTTCTGAATATTTTCTCTAAACTGTTATGAAATGTTAGTTACAGAAACCCCAGAACCAGCAATGACTAGTGGTGTGTATAGGCCTCCTGGAGCCAGGTTAACCACAACAAGGAAAACACCACAAGGACCACCTGAAATATACAGTGATACACAGTTCCCATCCCTGCAGTCCACTGCCAAGCATGTAGAAAGCCGAAAGTAAGTAATTCCCACATTGTGTTTTTGGGACCGTTCCCTTGGTGTGGAGTGGGATGGGTGTAGGAGATACAAAAGCCCGGGAGGAAGGGGTGCTTTTAATGGATAAATTCTAAACTGCATCAGACAGGCAGCTGAGAATTTAAAGTGGGACTCATGTACCCAGGAGGGAGAGGTGGGGAGGAGCACCAAAGACTTTTGCACAAGTTTCCCTTACCCCTGGTTTATGTTCTGTAACTATGACTAAGCTGCTGTGTCATTTTGACAAATTAGAATTCTTTACAAGTATATTATTGTTGTTTTATGCTCCTTATAATGTGCAAACTGGACATGAAAGAGGACTATTTGTTACATTCCCAGTAAATGTGAGTAGTAGATGGAAGACGTTGGAATTTATAAATCTAATATTAAAATCTTATTTCAGCAGGTACTTAAAATGAATGCTACCTGGAGTTAAATGACCACATATGGCACATCCACATCTGTTAGGGCCATGAGTTTTAAAAGTTAAATAAAATGGGAAGAAATTAAATGATTAGCTGGATATAATTGTTTTGGGAGGGGAGGGTGACTTTTAAAGTAAATCCCAGCCTTTTTTGCGTCTTTGAGACCACAGCTGGCTTGAGTTTAAACCTCCACTTGGACTTGCTCCTCTGCCCTGTTCTACAAAACCAGGGGCAGTGATCCGGCACACTCGTCCTTATCTGATCCACTCCCAGGAAGTAGAAGGGAGGAGAAGTCATTGAATAATGAGAACTTGAATCATTGAATAATAAGTGAGAAAATTGGTACTCTTGCTTATACATAAGGAAAGAGAGATGTATTGCTTATTATTTGCTAACAGTAAAAGTGAGTCTCAGAAGGAATCACCATGTTATCACAGAGCTTTTTAACTTTCCAGTTGTCTTCAAGTTGGTCCCAAATAGATTTGCAGTTAACAGTTCTAAACGCTACAGTAGATTTGCTACCACAGGAAATGGGGCCATGGAGCTTCAGTTGCAGTGTTTTATGTTTTCTGTTCAATTGAAGCCTTAAAAATGGTTTGATAAGGATTTTATAGACTCGTTTTCCTCTCCTGTCCCTCAAGATTCCTCTAAGGGGTGGCTTTTTTTTTTTTTTTTTTTTTAACTCAAGGAAGAATATATTTTTTTAAACCTCAAGAAATATTTACTGATTACGTTTATTTTCCCTTAGGGATAAAGAAATGGAGAAGAGCTTTGAAGTAGTAAGACACAAAACTAGAGGTAGGGATGAGGTTTCAAAAAACCAGGCCCTTAAACTTCAGCTAGACAACCAGTACACTGTGCTTGAAAATCAAACAAACAGCCACACACAGTACAATTAAGGAATGGTCTTTGCTACCCCTTCCAAGGTAACTAGACCACCGCTAACCACCATGAACAGCCATTCATCATCCGATCTCTGCTGGACCGACAGCCACCGATGCAGACCCCTCGATATAAGAGACCGGCCCTATCGCACTATGGAAGTTCAAGTGTCACAACTGCTCTGTGTATATTGAATTTAGGAGGATTTTCATTGTTATAAATGTGTGAACTAGATTCAGCAGTGTTCTCTCATAATAATTACTCTGCAAATACAAAAAAAAAAAAAACAAACCCACAAAAAATGGCAGCCAGTGGTCATTTCAAAATCTTTTTATGTTCAGATTCTGAGCCTTTGTAAGGTTGACTACCTCAGATTTGCTGCACTCATGTGGATCACAACTTCTGGATTAGAACGTTACAGCCCTTAAATGGCGACAAGGAACTTACAACCAGCTCTACTGGATTCCTATCAGAAATCCTGCAGAGAGTCAGCGTCTGGGTTCTGATCTGCTGTAAAAGATGAAGATTTAAGTGACCTTAACTAACCTGTCCTGTGCCCCACCCTCCGGGAATGCGCTCTGTAGTGGGCTGTGGCTGTTAGACCTCTGGAACGTGCCGCTCTCAGAAGAAGAGATGTGTTCAGTGCTCTGTGTAGGGCTGGGATTTCTAATTTAAACTTTGAGTTGTATTCTGAGGTAACCACAAATTCAACGAAACTTGGGGTCCGCCAAGTGGGGAGGGGGGCCTGGGAGGGAATAATCTTGTTTCTTTTAGTATTTTTCCTTGGGGTAGTGCTTTCTCTATGTTCCACATTAAGGCCTTTTTTGCTTTGACTTGGAAGAAGTTCTTTGACAGAGCATATTGCTTGGTTAAGTAAGTGACCTGAAATACACATTGGAATTGTGAAATTGCCAATCCCTCCAGGGGAACCAAAAAGCCTTTGATGGAAAGGGCAGTGGGTGCAGGGGGCTCTACTTCAGGTGCTGCTACAGCCTCCTCCAATCAGGTCTCATTGTAAAGCTGACTGCAGTGGAAAGAGGATGGTTTCTGCTCAGACCAAGGGGATCCACTGACCCATTCTTACAAATTCACAGCAACGTGAGCAGAACCTCAACCTAAAACCCACTTAGGTTTCATGGATCTTGCATAGTCTTTGACAATTTCAGATATATTTGTGCCCAAATTTTTAAGTTCCTGGACATTCTGTAGATTGTTCCGGGGTAGCTCTGTTATCAACCCTCTGCTGTGTCTTTATGCTGTTCATTTAAAATCAGGGGCAAACCACGGGCGATGTAGCACTTCTGTTTTAATAATTACAGCCTAAACTATTCAGTCATTTTTAGTCCTCAAAAGGGACTTCAGGAAGATAGCCAGGTTTACTGAAAAGTTTCTTTCCATCTAATGAGATAGTTCGATAATTTCCTAGTTTTGTATCTTTGGTTCAATAGAAATATGTCAAAGTGGTGTGCGACCACTTGATGCAGAGTCTGGTTTCTCTGTAATAAGTCCCTTTGCCAAATGGGGGGAGTTGCAGACTTGCTACTGGCAAGAGTGAAGCAAGCCGGTGAGTAAAGCTGTCCTGATACGGGAGCATATTTCTGTGGGAATTTAGTCTTGATAAAAGTGTCAACACAGGAATCGGACTCCTGGGGGGCTCCAGGTCTCCTGACAGGACTGCCAACCATTCCTGGGCAATAATGTTGGTGTTCTCTGAGGTGGTGGGCTGGGTTGCCCGCCTTCAGACGTGTTTGGGCGAGTTGCTGAGCAAACCAAGGAGAGGTTGGATGATTAAACGAGAAATAAGGGATTCTTGGTTAAACTGAAGACTTCATTTGGGAACCAAAAATCTTAACAAATCTCTTGGACCTTGAGCCACATATTTTCCCTGAAAAGTGTGCATTTTTTCCCCCAGCAGAATTTTGTTGAGGGTTACATTACTGAGGAATGAACTGAGATGGGTATGTGGAACTTATTTAATGGCTTACTGTACTAGGAAACTGAAGACCTGCAGGAGATTGAAAACCACCTCGTTACAACTTTTTAAGATTGTGAAATTGTCAAATGCACATGAATCAAGTTTTAATATGCTGTATGATGGGTTGGAGAGGATGTCCATTGTACCATTTCTTTCTTTGAATTCTCAGGCATGGTTTGGCAGTGCAAGAACTCTTGTAACATTAACAAAGTCAATAAAAAGTGACTGGATTTTGGAGTCCGGTAGTTTTTATTCTTAATCCGTGAACTATTGTCTGTCTTTGAAAATGGTGAATGAATGGTATGCCTCTGCTATAGGATGATGGTAATATCCTCTCAGGAGGGTAGTATGAAAAACGTTAAAAAAGAGACCTGGAATGAAAGTGCAGTGGTGAACATTCTTTCCAGAGAGAGAGCATTGAGATGTACTTTTCTCTTCATTACTGTATTAAATTGTGTTATCTCAAACCCTGGCGAGGGGATCTGCAACCTTGACTATGTAGACCTTGCCCTTTGAGAAGCTTATGGATTTGTCAGTGATAGCCATTTTAAATTTCAGGATTTAGTCTATAAATTGTAGTCTCTAAATTTATAACCTAGAGAAAATATATTTCAAGTCTGGTAATGGAATTGTGTTAATAACTATGTAGGAGGTAGTCACTTTCTTGCTAGAAATGGTAGCAAAGTCAACAAATATTTAGTGTGATGTTCAAATTTGCAGTGATATTGTCAGAAACATGGTCTTCTGAAAGACATTTTTGTTTTTCTTTAGAACTGAGCAGTTTAACCCCAGCTCTGAAATATCCTATTTTAAACCAGTGCATTTGACCTTTTCTCACCTTGTTCTGGTCAAGTATCTGGCAGTCATTTTCTGTCATCACTTAACCCTGGATGATTTTACTTCCTCCCTCCCCCCAGGAAGACTTTGATTCTTAAATTTACAGGGAGTCAAGATTTACAAAAAAGCATAAACCATGTTTCAAATGTTAGTGTATGGAAACTCACCATTATCCCAGGACAGAGACGCTTGTCTTTAAATCCAAAGTGTAAATGGTACGCCATCTCTTTAAAAGACTGTAGCTAAAGCTTTTATCATGTAAGCAATTATCTTCATGAGAAGTGGGGAAATTCAACCGTTAACTGGTTTTCACATAGCTGTATTTTGGAATAATCTGGAGGACTTAAAAATTACTGAGGCCTCCCTAGCCAAGTAGTAGCTCAGTTGGTTAGAGTGTTGTCCCAATACGCCCAGGTGCAGGTTTGATCCCTGGTCAGGGCACATGCAAATATGTGGAACAAATTAATGTTTCTCTGCATTTAATTAAAAGATTAAAATACTGAGACCTGACTCCCATTCGTAGACATTCTGATATCATTAATATGGGATGTGACCTGAACACAAGGACATATTTTTTTTTTAGTTCCCTAGTTAATTTCCAGCGAAGTTTGGGAATCACTGGGTTATGACAAGTGATCTAGTGAGGAGTTATAACCGTCACAGGGCTAGTTCCAGTATGTAGGCAATCCTTTCAATTGTATTAGCCCAGAAAGGATGGTCATATTTCTAAACACATGCTTAAATATGTAAAATGGAGGGAAATGAATACCGAAATTGGGGGGGACACCTATAAACTGAAATACTGAAGTTGTGATTTTTATGTACACCTTTTTTTTATTTTATAAAATATCAGTGTAATGACCATTTTTAATATTTCCTCTTGTCATTTCTTAGACAATTACTGCACCATCAATATTCCCGTAGCTACTTGTTTTTTTCCTTCTCTATACAATTATTTTACTTGACTTTTGTCTTGCCACTGAGTCTGACCATTCCAGAACTCACTGGAAATGTAAATTGCCTTACCTTACCCCTGGCTACTCTTACTTTGCCCTTTATATTGCCCAGTTACCACCTCTGGGTGTGAAGGGTTTCTTTAGAATGCGGTAGTTCTCTCTGGTGACTGTGGGAATGAGCCATAATTAACTTTCCAGAGATGAGCTCAGCAACTGCTCACCTTGGGAACTGGACCTCAGAGCCCCGCGCCGCCTGCACGCTCACCTGCTCAGCCTGCGGTTCATGCACCAGCTGCTCCCTGTTGGGGTCCTGTGGGTTGCACCCAAGCATCCTTTCTAATGGGCCCGCAGAGGAGTCCGCGCAGGGGGGGGGGGGGGGGGGGGGGGGGGCTTGTCTTTGGCTTTAACTGGCTGCGACTATTGTGTTTTTCTTCCCGGGTTTCTCTGATTTCGCAGTTGAAATTTATGCCTTTAATTAGGGACGGAATAAAAGTTGGAAGTCGGGAACTCCCAAACTCAGTGGCACCCTGGGGATGGGGGTGAAAGCAGGCTGCAAGCTTCCACTATATTCCTTTGTTCTCCCCTGACGTTCTTGTCTCCCTTCCTTTTAAAACCTTAGCTCCATCTGTCAAGTAGAATTCGTTGAAATTTTAAAAAATCACCCAGTATTTAACCATGGGCCGGGCACTCTCCTAAACAGGTAACACATGTTCCTGGTGTAATCCCGTAAAGGTGGAGACTAGGCCCTGAGGCTGAGTAGTTTGCCCCAATCACCTCGCTGCTAACAGGCGCCAGATCCCACCCCAGGTGTTGTGACTCCAGCATGTGCTTACCCAGGAGGCTTTGCGCCTGCTCCCGCTAGATTTAAGGCGAGAGAAGGAGCTAGGAAAACGCTTCTCAGATCCGACGGGAAAGGTGCCTTTTTGGCGAATTCTATCCTGAAGCCGGTGTGGCCGCCCTGGAGACTGGCTCTCCACCTCCCTCTCAGCCCCGGCACGCGGAGCTCCTGATGCTGAGGTGAGTGGCACTGCACTTTAGTGGCTGGGGAGGGATTTTTGTGGATGTCTTTGGATGAAAATTTCACGTAAATACAGAACCTATAACCCAGCTTGAACAGTTATCTGCTTGTGGCCGCCCATGTTTTACCAGGAAACACCTGTTCCCCGGGTTATTTAGAAGCGAACCCCTGACTTCCTGCATCCATAGACATTCCACCTAGGCCCTAGGTCCTAGGGGCGCTCAACCATAAAACCATCGTCAAGCGAACATTTCTTAATAACGAATGTCCTCTTGGTGCCTCATTTCTCATGGTGCTTTACAGTGGGTTGTTTGTGTGTTTTTTTTCAACATAATCCAGACAAGGACGACCCATTGCATTGAGTCTTCTGCGCCCTGGTAGTTCCTCCACTTCATTCTTACCATTTTGTTGTTGGAAAAAACCTGGTCATTTGGTTTGCAGAACTTTCCACATTCTGAATTTAGCAGGATGCTTTCCTACATTTCCTGCAAATGAGGAGTGTGCCGGTTATTAACTGATTTTATCGATAGCTTCCCCAGCGGCCCCGGGTGGGATGATGAAGCAGCTCCGGGCACGTCTCCCCATTGCCAATAGAGGGCGCTGGGGGAACGCCGTAGAATTGGCAAGAGGCTTGCAAGGTTCTCAGGGAAGCGAGCCCGAGCACATGGACCCAGGGGCCTGAGATGGCATCTGGGCAGCCCTCATGGTCCGACTGTGGCTCACGCCCTCCGGGTGCTGCAGGCCTTACCCTCCGGCGGGTTCCTCTGCCAGGGCAGGCGGGTAGCCGGCCGTGCTCCCCGCACGGGCGAGGGCCTCCGCCCAGAGAGGCTCTTAGTTTCTAGGTGCTGGAGGGTCGTGGCTGCTTTCTGTGGTTGCTGCTGCTGCTCTTTTGTGTCCTCGCTCACCCTTCTTGTTTAAATTACTTTTTTGTTTGTTTGTTTGTTTACATTACTGGCTTAATTGGTTTCTTGACTGAATGCTGGCTGGTGAAATGGTACCAGGACTGGTCCTGGGAGACACACCCTCCAGGGTTGGGCCTGGGGGCTTGGTTTGGTGGAGCCTTTGAGCTCCTGGCTAGTGGGAGATGGAACGATGACCTGGTGGCATCACCACTCAGCGGCCACCTCTGCTCGCGATGCGGGGTCTCCGGGCCTGAGACCTGGGTTTCCCGTGACTGCGCGGCAGGAATGACGTCCAGGAGGACTAGCGTGGGGCTGGTTCCTGGGGCTCCAGGGTGCTTACCCAGAGGAATGACAAACTCGGGTCCTGACACTCTCTGCCAGGGTCACAGGAGCCTCCCGGCAGCTCTGAGGGCACCGCTTCAGGTGGCCAGGGGCCAGATGCTGCTGAAAACCAAACCACACTGAAGGATGCGGCTGCAGGATGACACCAGTTGAATTCACAACCTTACGGTTCTCCTGTGGGATTTAAGATTCCGATTGGGAAGGGAGGGGCCCGGAAACTTAGAAGGGCGGCTTCTCTCAGATGAAACAGAGTCTTTAAGTCTGAAGTTTCTCTGAGCCTGCCGGGCCCGGGCACATAACTGCCCCCCTGTGCCAGCTGAGGAGGCTGGCTACCTGGAGGCAGATGGCCTGGCAGAGGGAGGCCCATTCTCAAGAACTCCTTTGTTGCCACTTCTGGGCAGAGTGACGGCACTGGAAAAAATGTGAGCTATTCCCAGCCTGTGCCGGCAGGAATCCGGGGAATGTGGGCGTGTATTTGAAGGCTGTTAGGGCAAGAACAGATATAACAAGATGGAACTGAATTCACTGACCGCGGGTGCACTTTAACTAGAGAGTGTTTGCATTGTTTTTTATATATATTTATACATATATATAAAATCTGGGTCTTGGTTCTTTTGATTAGTGTGAAGAAAGAACTACATTATAATGAAAATCAAGTTTGATATGTTTGTTTTGAAGTAGTGCTGGGGAGTTGTTTGGGGGGTTGCATCTGTTGCACTGGTTACTTTGAACAAAAGCTTTCTGTAGTTGTTTCCTTTGTCAGAAAAGAACGTTTGATATCATGTTGTATTTTTTCCTCTGCGTTAGAGAAGTCTCTAAATGTTGGGGGAAATCTGCATAGTCATTACTCAGTCAGAATTTGTATGTGCCTAAGGATCATTGTGGGGTTTTTGTTTGTTGGGGGGAGAAGGAGGGAAGGTGTGTATACATATGTAAATGGTTTTCTTTATTCTTTTTGTTTTGTTTTGTTTTTTACCAAAACACCATTTCACAACCATAGATAAGTTCATGTTTCTGAGCTGCCATCATTTTCAGCAACCTAAGAAAAAAATTATTTGAAGTTAAATTAAAATTTTTGCAAAACCCCTAAGAGGAAAATTTTATCACTGCCAATAACCTCACCCAAATGAGAAAACTAGGCAAACCCTGATGTGTTCTAATTAAGTAAGCAACAC